GTCGTAGTCGTCGTCGTTGTCGTCGTCGTCGCTGCCGCCGCCTTTGTTCTCGTCATCGAGGTCGTCGTCGTCGTCGGCGGCGTCGTCTTCGTCTTTGTCTTCGCCGTCTTCGTCGTCGTCGTCTTCGCCGTCGTCGTCGTCGTCGTCGTCGCATCGTCGTCGTCCCTCCTTGAAGTTCGAACGCTTTCGGCCCTCTCTGAGCCTCCAAATTTCTCGGATAGTCTCCAGGGAACTCTCGAAGCTCCCGGGCGTCTTGCAAAACACGCCCTGCGACGAACAGCAGGTTCCGGAAACAGTCAACGACTTGAAACCATCAAGAGGCTTTCTTCCAGACCTCCAACGTCGTGGACCAATCGAGACAGTTTCTTCCACAACTTCTGCATCTGGCTCGGGCCCAGGGACCGTCAGAACAGTCTGGGAGAAAAGACCGATCAGTTCTGGGCGAGAGATTCGGGTCGGGCGAAAGGGGGGGAGAGCAAAGGGGGGGTTTGAAAATCAGCTCACGTAGCTGATTTTCCCGGCGCCTCCCGGCGCCGGAGGCGGCTATGTATCGAGGAATGGGCCCCTCGGTGAGGCCGAAACCAGCTGCATGCAGCAAATTTCGTAACCCCCCCTTTCCCAATCCCCCCCTTTCGCCCGACCCGAGAGATGGGCGGCCTTCGACTGAAGAAGGCAGCGAGGGCACCGGCCCCAGGAGATGCAGTGTCCGGGACGCCTCTTGAGAGGCGGGGGGCTCTCTGCCCGCACGGAGGGCCGCCCCGCTGATGAGGGGCAGCGTTAGGGGAAGACCGGCTCACTCAGGGGGAGAAGGAGGCGGAGGAGGAGGAGGAGGAGGAGGAGGAGGAGGAGGAGGAGGAGGGGGAGGAGGAGGAGGAGGAGGAGGAGGAGGAGGAGGAGGAGGAGGAGGAGGGAGGAGGAGGAGGAGGAGGAGGAGGAGGAGGAGGAGGAGGAGGGAGAGGAGGAGGAGGAGGAGGAGGAGGTCGAGTTTGAATCGGCGATGCATCGCCGACGGATCGGCGATGTAGGCGCCCGAGGTAGCGACTCCGCACGGGCCTGGGCGGGGTGTGCCCCCGGGCCCATACCGGCGACGAGTGCGTGATGGGGTGTCCAATGCAGGTCCCGCCCTGCGCCTGTCCCGGGGCCCCAGCGTCGCCCTTGACCCCCTGACCTGCCCCACTTCTCGAGGATTTGTTTTGTTTGTTGTTGTTATGCTCTTGTGTTCTCTTTCTCTCTTTTTCTCGGCGGTGGACAAACCTCCCTTCAGTAAACCTCCCTGTAGTGAGAACGGCCTGGGACCGATACCGACGGACCTGGACCCGCAAGAATGACGGCCGCGACGCCCTCTCGCAAACCGGGAACGGCCAATTCCTTAATCGACGTGTCAGGGTAGGAGGTCTGTCCACCCCCGATCTTCATCTCCGCAGAGCACCAGAGCTCTCACCACGAGAATCCGCGTGTCTTCTGCCACGGGTCCATCTCCCGCGCGGGCCGCCACGGGCCCGGAGAGGGCCCTCCTGGAGGCCGCGAGCTTTGACAGGCCCGGCCGCCACGACGGCTTCTGCCACGACGCCCAGATCTCTGAGGGCTGTGCTGACGGGCATCGACGACGGGGGGGGGGGGGGGGCTCGAGGTTTCACTGTTTCGGGTGTTTCGGGTCGGGCGAAAGGGGGGGATAGCAAAGGGGGGGTTTGAGAATCAGCTCACGTAGCTGATTTTCCCGGCGCCTCCCGGCGCCGGAGGCGGCCATGTATCGAGAATGGGCCCCTCGGGGGCCGAAACCGCTGCATGCAGCACATTTCGTAACCCCCCCTTTCCCAATCCCCCCCTTTCGCCCGGCCCGAGACAGACGGGGACCCCCCCTCACCCAGCAAGCACATCACGGGCCCTGCAAGAGCCTCAAGAACCCCGCCGGCCTGCGGGCCGCGGCCCCCGACCCCGACCGAGAAGGGCACACGCGTCTCTGCCGGCCGCGCCCGGCCGCCTTCGCGCTGGGGTAGCGCCCGGCCCTAGTGTTTTCGTTGGTTCTCGGCGGCTTCCCAGCCTCGGGGTGCTCTCCAGCAGCCGCGCCTCGCCGACGGCGTTTTCCCGGGGGGTGCCCGGAGATCCTCCCGACCCGGCCGCCAGAGGCCCGACGTATGGGGCCAGCCGAGGGCCGTCGATCGGGAGGGGCAGCGTCGGCCTGAAAAATCGGCGAGGAGGGAGAGGAGGAGGAGGAGGAGGAGGAGGAGGAGGAGGAGGAGGAGAGGAGGAGGAGGAGAGGAGGAAGGAGGAGGAGGAGGAGGAGGAGGGAGGGAGGAGGAGGAGGAGGAGGAGGAGGAGGAGGAGGAGGAGGAGGAGGGAGGAGGAGGAGGGGGAGGAGGAGGAGGTCGAGTTTGAATCGGCGATGCATCGCCGACAGATCGGCGAGAAGCCCCGGATGGCGACTCGCCGCCAGGTCCTGCGAGAGCATGACCCAGGCGAGGTTCTCCACAGGGAGCGTGCGGCCCTCGCAGCCAAGGACCTCGATGGGGTCCAGCCTGGTGACGCGGCCGTAGACGTACGCGTTGTTCACCCAGCCGGTCTTCAGTCGGCAGATGACGTGGCTGCCGACCTCTTGGGCAAAGCGCAGGCTGCCCACACGGGACCTCTGGCGTCGTGCTCCGCCCCATCCTGGCCCCTTCTCATACACGTCGGCCTCTGGTAGGAAGGCACCAACTATACACCAACACCGATCCTGGCCAGGATCACCCTGGGTCCAGGATCGGAGTATACGCCCTCCTGTCTTGCGCAGAATGCATATACACCGATTTGGGGCCTAGGATCGGCCTGACCAGGATCGGTGTAGGTGTATAGTAGGTGCCCTCCGATCTGGGGGCCCCATCTCGGGCCGCTGGGTCATCGTGAGGCGGTCCGGCGGCAGCAGCGACCGCGCGGGGGAAGGGACCGAGACCCGTAATTAGGAGGGCCCACGGATGTAAACGGTCACGACGTCGAAGTCTGGGGCGGGTTGCGCCGGAACGTGAGGGGGAAGCCGGGTGAAAGGGGGGCGGAAAACCCGTCGGCCTGGAGTCGGCGAGGCATCGCCGAGCGGTCGGCGATGGGCCCCCGATGGCGCAGCAGCACGCTCTCCTGGGCGGGGTGGGCAGTCGGGCCCCCATCTAGAGGCATCCCAGATGGGGTCGGAGTAGATGGGGTCGGAGGATCGCGCCGCATCGCCGGTGCATCGGCGATGCATCGACTATGCATCGGTGATGCACTGGCGATGCATCGTCAACGTCGGCGACGCATCGGCGACGTCGACGTGAAGCAAATCGGGCCCCACATCGAGCCGCATCGGCGATGCATCGGCGATGCGGCGCGATCCTCCGACCCCATCTGCTCCGACCCCATACGGGGCCCAAACAACCATCCCACCCAAACTGGGGGAACCTTGGCCCGCTGGCCTGCCTACCCCGGCATAGGTGGGACTGCGTGCCGCACCCCTCGCTCGGTTCGGGGCACCCATCCCCACCTAGAGGGGGTGCGCCGCGAGAGCCAACTCGCCCTGTCCCAGTGGGGGTGGGGATGGTTCCGAGGAGGATGATATCGGGGGGGTCGATGCGTCCCCGTAACCCTATCTTCTCCTGTCGGTGTGGGGGGGGCCTGGCCCCGCCGATCCGATCCCTGGGTCATGCCTGGGATCTTGGCCCGATCGGAGGGCGCGGGGCTCCATGGAGGTCTCCTCCTCGTGACTCGTGATGCGGGCTGTCCTCCGATGGAGCGAAGTCCTCCGCGTTAGCTCGTGCTGCTTCTGCTGTGGCGGCAGTGAGTGCGCAAGTTGGAAGGAAGACTGGTCGGATGCATGGGTGGTGGAGGTAGCGAGCTGAGTTGTGGTCGCGCCGTCGTAGGAGCAAAGCTTGCGGAGGCATTGGAGGGCTGCGCCCCGCGTGGGCGGCTGCAACCATAAACTAGGAGGTGTGATGCTGGGAGATGTGACATTGATGCTGGTGCTCCTAGCGGCGAGGGTGGCCCGTGCCACCATGACGGCAGACATCTTCGCGTTGATGCCTGCGTATAAGCTCGGCAGGGTGGCTCGTGGTAGTTGGTTGCCAATGTCGAGCTGGTTGTATCCTGTGCGTCGCAAATAGCGCAGTCCCTGGGGTCGTTCTCTGGACCGTAGTGGTCGGGGGTTGGCGTCCAGCTTCCTCTATGGGTTTTGTTCGCGCTGCTCTTCCATTTTCGCGTGCTCGTCTGGCCGCGATGGCGGCGGCGCGCCCCTGGCGCATCTGCTCTACGCAGCGCTCGATGGCGCCCCAGTTGGCTAGGTCGCGCTTCTTCTCGCGGTGGGCAATGTCGATGGAGAGCGCCCAGGCGTTCGTCTTTGCGGGCGGCGAGATCTCTTCCATCTATCGCTGTATGTTCCGCGCCTCATTTGCCCGCTGCATAGGGGGGGAACCGCCTTTGTTTTGCCTCCCGCGCCCTTCGCCAAGGTTGGCTTGGGCCCGTTGCTGTCACGTTCCGGTCCTGATGTGGGTTCCGGTCTCCGCGCAGCAGCAGTCGGATCCTGGGCGTGGGTTGGCGGGGTGTCTGTCTCTTAGCTGGGGGCGTCCGCATGGTTCTTAGATGTTCCTGCTCAGAGTTAGCCCTCTGCGTGGCTCTAATTCGTTCCATGTTGTTTTCGATGTCCTGCTCGGGTAGTTGTGGGACAATGTTGTGCTGCGGCGTCGCGCCATGGGGGGTATCTTTGAGGCGCTTCACGAGTCTGGCGTAGTTGTGGTACTCCCTGCTGCGTGGGAGGCATCTTGTGCCAGCTGCCCATGCCCAGTCCTCATGCGTGCGAAGTGGGCCTGCTTGGCAGCGAGAGTGGCCTCACATCCGTAGCACATATGTTTTGTTTGGGCCTGCTTGTCATCTTTTCCTGGTATGGTGTGGATGTCTTCGGTTCCGTGGTGTAGCTTCAGCTTCCCGTGCAGCTGCTCGTAATGCGCCCTGTCCTCGAGTATCCGTTGGCTCCTCCTTGCCGCGGTCTCAAATCATGCCAAGGTCCTTTGGGTTTCTTGGGTTATGAGCTGCGCCGTCTGATGTGTGTCAGGTGTACGTGTAGGTCTCAGCTGCACGTCGGGATTGTCGCGGAGCCACTCAAAGCCTTTGCTGCTGGTCTCGACCCAACTACCCTTCAAGTCCGCATTGGTGTCCAAGAGATTCAGCAGAGCGGTGGGAGCACGTTATAGTCTGCGGAAGAATCGCAACGGGTCTATAGAAACAAATGTTATTGAGCGTGGGACCCCTGGAGATGCTGAAGATATCCTCGTTCGTGCTGTTCTGATTGGCGTAGTTCTTGGTCTTGTAGCCAGCGGACAGAGGCTTCCCCTTCATAAATTATACGGTAAATTGTCGCCCAGCTCGTTTTGCACGTGTATGTCGAAGAGTATGGGTGGAGATGGTGAGCGCCTCGGTGTACACTGCCGTCTGATTGATCGGCAATTCATTTCCGCAGTGTGCCTCTTGCCTGGGTGGCCCCCGTGATGGGATCGACTTGGCCGTCCATCTTTTCAGCTTTCGTCCTGTGGAAATGGTAGAGATGATCCTGGTGCCAAGTGCTTTCTGATGATCAACGATCTCGACGGGGTTGACGGGTAGATATATGCTGGCGTCATGATTGTTTTTCTTTGCCATGTCCTCCGTGGCCTTGGTGGGCCCATTGCCGTTGGAACTTGTTATGATGTTTGTCTTCTTGGTGTCGAACTCCATGCTAGTGGCCATCGTCCGTATCGCGGTAGGGTGGCATAATTCGTTGGCTGTGTCGAGAACGTGCTCGGGGACGGGCTCCGGTGTCCTCCTCCTCCTCCTCCTCATCCTGTCTATCCTCCTCCCTCTTCCTGTTCCCCCAAACCAACAAACCTACTTCCTCTTTTTCCTGGATGCCTCCAGAGAACGCCCAGGGTCCAAAAACGTGTCAGTGTGTTTGTGTTTGTGTGTGTGTGTGTGTGTTTGCGTATGTATGTATACAGGCACATTCAACTTTAAGCATATACATGGTCCTGCTCCTCGTAATCATATGCCTCATCTTGTTCTGCAGCCTTATCCTCATGGCCATCCCCATCCCAATCCCCATCCTCATGAACAGGATCACCCTCAGCACCGCCACCATAAACTATCACCGCCCTCACTATCATCACCATCGGTCCGCATCATCCTCGTCACCATCCTCGCCACCATCCTCATCCTCATCCTCATCCTCAGCCCCCTCCCACCTCCTCCCCATCCTTCTCCTCCTCCTCCTCCTCATCTATCCACTTTTTCCGCACGCATCACTCGACCTTGTCACACACCGAAGTCAGTCAGAACGGCGGGCCGGGCATTTCGTCTGAGACCTCCTTACCATGTATAAGCCTCAACATTGAAAGCTGACAGCAATTTCGCAGATGGATAGCGGGTAGCTTCCAAAATGTGGCTCTCGCCCTGCCGCGCACATTCGATTCACACATGTGCAAGAGTTCCAAGGATTAGAGACAGGTCGTTCACAACATGCGCCTCTCGCGTTCGCCCTGCGCACGTTCGCTTTAAGCACTGGCAAGAGTTCAACGGACTGAAGACAAGTCGTTTTCACACTGTGGCTCTCGCCTTAACGCCGCGCGCATTCGTGTAAAAGACTGGCAGTGGATTGGGGACAGGTCGTTATCAACATGCTGCTCTCGCCTTGGCGCCGCGCGCATTCGCTTTCAACGCTGGCAAGCGTTCAAAATGTTGAAGACACGTCGTTTTCAAAATGTGGCTCTCACCACAAAGTCGCGAGCATTCGTTTTAAACATTTGCATACGTTGCACGGGTGGAAGGCGGCTTGTTTTCAAAATGTGGTCCTCGCCTCAACGCCGACCATGTTTGCTAACAAAAATTGCAAAACGCTTCAATTGTTCTCATCGTGAGCGTACCAGAAATGGCATTTTGGAGCGATTCAGAATTGCTAGGGCGCAAGGCTTACTATGTTCAATGGGAAAAATCCGATCCAAAAAAATCCCCGGACACCCCCCCGGACAACCCGGACAACCCTTCCGATGCTGACACCAACGACCAGGACAACCCGGACAACCCGGAGTACGTTCATTCGCAGTGTTCATGTCCAAGGCATTGCGTTCTGGATCGTCAAGACGCTGCAGTCAGGTTGGCTCGTGGCGTTGAAATCCTGAGAACGGTGTTTTGGTACGCTTCAGGATTTTCACACGGTTGTCCCTCAACGGGTCACTTCCCTCAGTGGAAATGAACCCTTGTAGGGGCCTGTGAAAAAGGAAATTGGAGGGAGGGGGTATTCCAACATCTTTGATGAATCCTGGGTTTGCGCTGGTCCTCTCCTTCCTCCTCCTTCTCCTCCTCCTCCTCCCCCCCGTCACTCCCTCCTTCTCTCCTTCCCTCCATCCCTCCCTCCGTCCCTCCCCCTTCACCCCCCCCGCCCTAGAGCCCCCCCCTCCTTAGACAGCGCCCCGATCGACAGGCAAAGGACTTCGGAACGCCCCCCCGGCCTCCACGCCCTCCTCGACTTGTGGCCTCGGTGGGGGGTCGGCGGACGGGCAGGGGGGGGGGCCGCGAGCGTGAGGGCCGAGCCTGGACAGCGATGGAGCGCCCCCCCCCCCCCCCCCCCCCCCCCCCCCTCTTCCCCATGGGGGAGGAGGCGCTGATGTTGATAATGCTGCTGCTGATGTTGATGACGATGACGATAACGATGATGCTGATGATGCCGATGATGATGCTGCTGATGCTGATGATGATCAACATGAGGATGCTGATCAGGAGGAGGAGGGGGATGGTGATGATGATACTGCTGCTGCTGATGATAATCATCATGATGATTGTGATGGTCATGATGACGATGCTGCTGATTAGGATGATGAGTATGATGATATTTATGATGGTGATGATGATGATTATGAAGTTGTTGATGATGATGCTGCTGATGATGATGATCATGCGGTTGTTGATGCTGCTGATGCTGATGATGATGTTGATGATGAGTATCAATGCTAGATGAATATGATTCGAATGGTGAATATGATGATGCTGATGATGATGGTGGTGGTGTTGATGATGATGGTGAGGAGGAGGAGGAGGAGGAGGAGGAGGAGAGAGGAGGAGGAGGAGGAGGAGGAGGAGCGAGATGGAGGCGGAGGCGGAAGAGGGGGGGAGCAGGAGGAGACACGACGCGTTCCCTTTCCTACGCTGGCAGGGGGGGGGCGTTCGCGGCGGGCGGCGCCCGTGGTTTGGCGACGCCCAAGTGTGGCGCCACCATGGCGGGCCGGGAGCCCGCGATGCAGAGCCACCACCCCGTCCACGCCCTCGCCGACGACCACCCGTCCATGAGCACCGACCTCACTGCGGAGGGCTGCCCGAGCGCGCGGCGGCCCAGCACGCGCCGCGCGGCAGATCTAACTAACCGCGATGGGGCCCACGGCGGCTGGGCGCACGGCCCCGCGCTGGCGCGCAGCCGCACTCGAGGCCGCCACCCGCAGGCACCCCAGGGAGAACAGCCAGATGCAAAGCAACGACTGGGGCAACAGTCAATGACCGTCTCAACACCGACCACAACACGAAGCACAAGTACACCGTCATCCAGGTTTCAGCCGAGGCCCGCCATGACCACAACTACGACGACCCACGACCACAAGCACAGCCAACACTATGCCGCCCCCCACGCTGCGGAAGGAACCGCCCCCCTGGCCCCAGGCATGGATCCTGGATATTTGCTCGACGCGTATGCCGACAACCGCCACTCTGGCCAGCACCTCGAGGTGCCGCCAGTTCCGCCTGGCAGGGGTTACCGCGACATGAGCAACTTCACGCCACGTGGCGTCAACCATGACGTGTTCGGTCACTTCCACGGCGCGCTCCATTATTCTCGACCGCACCGGCCCCAGCATAACCGATATGTGCCGATTCCGAGCAGAACCAGGCCAGACTATACGATTCGGCCTCGAACTCCTGTATCGCCGAGCGCAGGAAAGTCTGCCAATCGTGTCGACGCCGACCCGTCTGCCACCACCAACACCGCCGCAGACGCCTACGGCCAGCAGAATTCTGAATACGACCCCAGCTGCGAGGGCGACCAGGAAGACGAGGACGAGGAGGGCATCTAAGAAAAGGCAAACGACAGCGGAAAACGTGCCGACGCGTTCCGAAGGCTGCTTCCCCTCCAGCCTGACTGGGAGGAGAGCTTGGAGCGGGTCCGTGCGCCTCTCCTTCCCCTGCCTCGGCGGCTCCGCAGGCGGCCACAACCAGCGTCGCTCGCAGTAACGCCTGCGCCTGAACCGTCGCCGGCGCCTACGACGGAGCCGGCGCGCTGGACGAAGCGGGGGTGGCCCTGGACGAAGTTCCCCTGGACGAGCTGAAGGTGGCGGGGGTGGCCCTGGAGCCCGCGGAGGAGAAGGCGGCGGCGCAGGCCCCGGACGAGGCTTGATGGGGGTAGCCTCGGCCACTGGGCCACAGCTCCTACGCCCTTGGCATGGGCTTCTGGGCCCTGGCTCGCCTCTGAAGGCGGCCGAGAGCCCGCTCATGGCTTCGAGCTCCTGCCCAACCGTTGTGACGAGGACGGCCGAGACTCGACGGCGCGGCGAGGGGAGCGGGCGCGGTCGGCGGGCCACCCCGTTCTGGTCCGCAGCCTCGCGAGCCATCCATGCTGCCGCGAGCGAACGTGGGGCCTTCAGGAGGAGGAGGAGGAGGAGGAGGAGGAGGAGGAGGAGGAGGAGGAGGAGGAGGAGGAGGAGGAGGAGGAGGAGGAGGAGGAGGAGGAGGAGGCGGCGTGGAATAAAAGGAGGAGGACAACGAAGCATGGGGGTGGGCACGACGGGCCCAGGGCGCCCCAGGCACCCCAGCGGGGCTCCCGCTGAAATCTAATTACGCGAAGCGAACACGACGGGTAAAGCGCACGCCCCTAGCCTGGGGATTCGGTTCCATTTGCGCGGGGCTCCGCAGCTCTGCGGGGGGTGGGGCGACCGCGGAAGCGGGGACGCCCCGCCCGGAGGCGGGGCGGCCACGGTGGCCCCCCGTCGCTCCACGCTGCCGAAGAGAGGCTGCCTGGAGTCGTAGGTGCCGCACTTCTTTGCCGTGGAGGTGGTCACGAGGAGCGTGGAAATTGAGCGTGCGGTGGGATGTGCGGTGCAAAAGGTGCGTCGCGCACAACAAAGCTCGCACCACTCTGTGTATGGGGAGACGATGCCCGTGGCCCCAATCCATGGATGAATATAAACAGTGACTAGCTCAAGGCAGATCCGGCCGCAGAATGGAACGACAAGGGACTCCAGATCGTGAGACTACGGAGGGGGCCAGTACTAGGAAACGTGCGCCGCCGAGCGAAGAAGACGAATCACGAAGCAGAGGAGCTCGAGGTGCGCGGGCCCGACGGCCGGGTAACAGGTTGCCCTGTTGCCCATCCGTCTGAGGATGGTCCATCTGGCTGGGGGCTTCTGGCCCGCGCGGCCTGCCTCCGCGGCTGCTGGCTGCAGGGGCCCGCGGGCGGCACCTCTTCGGGAGCGGGCGCGGGGGTGACCTGCTGCACCCTGCTCAGGCCTCGATCTGAAGAGCCGGACGCCAGCGCGAGCCGCTTACCTGCCGACTCGAAGACTCCGAGAAGCACCGGGATGGGGCTGCGAGCAGCACGGCGAGCGGCAACGCCTCACGCCGTGCTCTGGTGATCTGCCGCGAGGCGTGCAGGCTCACGTCGGGCAACGCCTTCGGCTCGGGCTCCAACCCCAGGCACAACACAACTCTGCAGCGCCGTGAAGACACCAGGCGTCGCTGCGGGTGCAGCGTGGCGCGGACATCGTGGCGCGTCGAAGCCGCGGGTGTCCCCGCGGCGGAAGGTTGCCCCTTCGTGTCGGAGGCAGGCCTCGGCGAGTGCTCCGCAGAAAGCTTGCCTGAACGCCCTCGATCTAGCTAGAGGTCGACCGCTGGCGCCCCCTGTCTCCGGTGGCGCCCCGTCTCGGCCTTCCCTTCGGCCCATCCCGGCTGCCACCCAGATGGCCCCCCCTCGACCCGCAGCCTCAACCTGCTGCCACTGCTTCGGACACCGCGGCCTCCCTCCAGCGCAGCCACCACCCCGGGCCATGCCAGCACGCCCCCCCCCCTCCCTCCCCTGACGAAGCCTACCCTGCCTGCGACCCTGGGCATGAGCTCCGCACCGTCCCTCCCGCGCTTCCCACAACTCGACGCCCTCCCACCTCCACCTCCACGACCCACCACCACCACCACCACCGCTGCAGCGTGGCACCCGGGGGACACCAGGCTCCACACCACGCACTTGCGGGGCCGACCGGCACGACCGCTGCGTTCTCGCGGCCCTGAGGGGCTGGCCCACGGCCACAGGAGGCGAGGCGGGGCGGCGAGGCGCATGGGTCGGAGTGGGAGGTGGGGGCGGAGGAGGCGCGCGGCATGTTGGCCGCCCGCCCTGCTACGGCGCGAGCACCACCGCTGACGGGCGCTTCGAGACCTCAGGTTGAGCCCCCTCAGGGGCAACGGCCCCTGGGGGGGGAGCAGCATCCCTCTAGGATTCTCATGCCGTCATCGAGTCCAGTATAGTCGAGTCGAGGAGGAGAAGGAGGAGGCGGAGGAGGAGGAGCGGGGGGTGTGCTCCTCCCTGTCGTCTGTCTCCCTTGCCTGCGGGTGCCCCCCCTGATGTCCAGCAGGTCGACCGCGCGAGCGCCGCCAGGGAGGAGTCAGGCAACGCCACGATCTGACACCGATGCCGAGGGCTTACAGCCACAGCGAGGGAGGAGGAAATTACTTGGACGACCGCCCTGTCGCCGGATGGTTGCTCTCTGATGGAAACCCGCTCCTCCCGAGTGCCTGGCTCTTTCGGGCGAAACCTCTCGTGACCTCAGACCAACCCTCGTGGGCTTTGCCTATCTGGCGACGCGCGCAATCATATCGGAGCTTCTAAAACGGGCCAGGGGTCGAAATGGCCAAGTGTCGAAACACAGACTCTGCAACGTGTGCGCATGACTAACAAGTTGCAAATTGACCACTCGAGAGGCAGATCAACAGAACCATTAACCTGCACCTCCTGTGTATCTGTGGGCAAGCCGTGCAACCACTGGGGCAGGGTCGCGCAGTCGGACTCTTGAATCGCAAGCACCTGCCGAGAAGAGGTCCCGAGCGGCACAGCAGATCACTCAGATCCAATTCCGCCCACGACGGCAGAGAACCCGTCCGCGAGCTTGGGCGCACACCTGGAGTACAGTCAAGATACAGTCAAAACTGATAGCAGGGATGCGCGGTGAAGATGCAAGCCTCTCATACGCCAAACTCATGCCAAGTCTCTCCGAGCGAGGCTGGCCGTCGAAGAGGGGTCACGCATGGACCAAGGAGGCAAGGGTGCAGAGGGTACCCTGGGAAGGCCACCTAGCCCTACCATTGGGGCCTGGAAATTGGCACCAGCACCAGCCCAGGGGGTTACCTCCACATGGGGAAGATGATCCCAGACTTCGGTGTCGGTGGTAATATCTCGGTCACCTTGGGAGCCAGAATATCACCTCCACCACCGAGATCGGGATCGTCTT